AAGAAAACATATCCATATTTCTCTAAACTTTTAGGGATCATCGGTTTACTTGTAATCCACAACCAATAAATCTAGTGTGTAGCCAGGAGTGCAGAAGTGCAGTGAGACCTCTGTCCATCCATGGCTGCACTTTGGTTCAAAGTACTAGATGTTCATTATTTTCCTCCCTGTGGTAATAAGGCTTTGATGACTGTGGTTTTCTCTCCCACCGAGTCATCATGGATCCCAGCAAGCCATCATGGATCAGCAATAATTTCACATCATTCCTGACATCAGGTCACTGTTTCCCTCCAAAACAGAAAAATATTAGAAATTTAGGTAGGTTTCCAGGATATAGCTGAGAGAGTACACTTGATTTCATTAATTTCAAACTGTAGTTGTAAAAGTTCTGAGGCATCTGTGTTATTTTCTGCCGACTCCCACTGCTGCTTGTGTTTGTCTGTGAGTATGAAGAGCTTTATCCTCAGGACATATGTATAATACATGAGGAGGATTGTGCAGAGGCTGCAGAATCAGGCAGAGCTGGGTGCCCCGGTGGCACCACACAGCAATCCCAAAATAGGAAGTAAGCAGCAAGAAAGAAATAATCTGAGGTTTGTCTGGACCAACTTCCTTTATCTTCTCTGAGGTTAGCTTACTGTCATGACTGCTTCATTAGGTCATTGTTGTGTGTTAACACATCACAATAAATTTGTATTTATTATTTTAGTGTCAGTGACACCATCTTTACAGGATTTAACTTTTTCATTATAATGAGTGGTTACCTTTGCATATTAAGCTACTTTACATAAGAAATGGTAGAAAAGTTCAACTTTCTCTGGAAGGATACCTCAAAGTCCAGGTACACTGTGTGCAGATCTCACTGCTCTTGGTCATGGGGAAAATGCAGATGTGACCTAAGATGGTACAGTGATACATCACAAATAAGTCTTAGAGAAATAGACATATAATAGAAAATAGAGGTAAAAAAGTTTGTGTGTATGGCAAATGAAGTCAACAAAAAAGTAACAAAAACTGCAGTTTGTCAAACAACCACTTGAGGCTGTATACTGAAGTGATCAATCTCAATAAAATGCCCAACTTTACTGGCCTTTACGGCGGGTGATTTATCATGTAACTTACCTGTTTAAACTATATTAAGGCTTAAAGTTCTGCATAATTAAGAACCGTGTTGTCGCAGGCCGGCCTTATTGCATTAGCTAGGGGCCAGTGGAGTCAGGACTGCTAAGATGGTGACAGCCAGAGCCCATGCACTGAGCCTCACAGCGGCTCTTCAGAAACCTATGAGAGTCACGGCGACTGCGTCCATTTTTAATTATACAGTCTATGTTTTTACAGCCAGGCATGAGAGTGTATCAATCTTCTGATATAACGCTCACAAAACAAAAAAAAAGTCTAATTATTCTTTGAAGGGGACACACTCGGGAACTTTTAGTGCCATTTAGGAGCACTCAGAGTGGTAGGGTAAAGTACTTGCTGAATATGTGGTCATTCACAGGAAAAGAAACTTACTTATTCTGAATTTTGAGGCTACAGCACATTACTGCTCCCAATTAGTGACAGCATTTCTTTCAAAAAGTACAGTTTTTGAGTAACAAGCTCAGCATTGTCTAGTTAGCCAAATTGCTGCTGGCTATGGCACTCAAACACCCAGCCAGTCAACAGGAAACAACAGCATTTGTTGAAACATTTACTAAAATTGGAGAAAGTCTTCACTACAGTGCAGAGCATTGTTTTTTCTAACAGTCAGATTTAGTTCCACTTGTCAAGGTTCAATACATCACTTATTAGCTCTCTTTCTTAGAAGTTAGATCAGAAGAATACCAATCTCTTGTTCATGAAGCTTGCCAGGATGTTTGCCTAGGCTCACTAAATAACCAATACCAAACATTTGCTGTGACTCGATGATAAAGCTCCTGGCCAAGACATAGTCATGCATGTTTTTATCCACAATAAAAAGGTGGTTATAGAGAGGGAAGTATGCCGTGACATAGTTAGCTTGTACAAAGACCTATGCTAAAATGGTTTTAAATGTATTAAAATGGCTAAAATGCTGCACAGAGGTGTTGGGGGATAGATAACCTGTTGTTGGTGAAATGTAGTGAGCTTTAAAGAATGATATTTGGTGTATTTTTGAGCTTTGGAGGGATCTAAGCTAATTACATCCTGACTGCAGCTCCGTACTCGACGCACAAACATGAGACTGATCGACTTTCTCATTTCACTCTCGGAGAGAAAGCAAACACATCTCCCGAGGTTGAACTATTTCTTTATTTAATCAAGCTAGCTGTTGAACAAGGGAGCTACATAGCTGATATCATTTTCAAATGTTTTCCAGCTGCTCGGAGGCACACAAAAAGCTATTCTTAGTTACTGTAAACACCTTGTAAAAAGCCATTTTCACAGCATGTATTCACAGTCATTTTCAAGTCAATAATATCTGTTGTATCTATGTTTAGATTCTCAATACTACTATAACTTCCAATTCATACTTATTACATGAATTACTCATTCATACATTGCTTTGTTTAAATCAGGGAGATACTACAACCTACATTAACTGATACTGGCTTAAAGGGGTTGGAGCCATCATTGATAGTCATGATGTTAGTTGCCTTGTGAAATCTTGACTGTCTTGTCAAGGTGTCAAGAGGTCAGCTGCATTCCCCCCTGCTTAAAGCCACTCATTTGTCACCTAAAATATTTATTAAGTTTCCCATTCAAAGATTCACAAAGCACAAACTGTTTCTCCACTTACAGAGGTACAAGAAGGCAAAACAAGGCGACTGCCAGTACAGAGGGGATGCAACTCTGTGAAGGAAGGGTGGGTTAGACGAGAGGAGGAATGGTAACCATCCCAATTAGCGGGCTGGAGAAAAGAGTAGTGCTTTTACACAGCAGCTTCCATCACATCACCCGCCCCCGGCTCAGCAGGAAAAAAGCTGCTCAAAATGGATTTGCTCCTTTTATCAAGCCCTCCATGACACTTAGTTAAGACTCCTTTGCCTCCATCCTGCCACTGTTATGTGCCACTTTGAGGTGGAGTCTCACTGACATTATTAAGAGTGAAAGTTTCAAGAACTTGGGAGAAAGCCTGAATTACGTCATCACAGTGTTGGCTTTTTCCAAAAGTTAGGAGACAGAAAAAGAAGAGGATTTTTTTCCCAAGTTATTTTCTTCTTCATCTTTTGTTTTCTTTCTTTCTTTCTTTTTTTTTTGCTAGAGACCGGGGTTTAAAGCTTCGGCAGTGTCCCTATGGGAGTATTAGCATCGGCTGCTCAATTTTTGTGAATCCAAATTGGACAAGGGAGGCAGATTTGAGAATGCAGCTGACAACACTATTCAAGGTTCTTTATAAGTGCCACAGAGAATCTCAGTATAGCCTCATTCTTTGCCTTCCAGGCGGCTGAATCATTTAGAAAGGTGAGAGGCATGAAATCTGTGGCAGATTAAGAAGTATTCAGTTCAGTCCTTTAATGGTGCATACCTGATGTTTTATTTAGATTGTGTATTCAAAAGATTCCTCTCACAGACCACATTATGCTCATTGGGATTGGTAATTTCTGTTTCTCAGAGTGAAAGTAAAAACTTTGATAAATATATCTATATCAGTAGTAAAGAATTACATGAACAATATACGTTACGACAGACAAAACCTGAATTATTCTTCAGCATTGAGGTGCAGCTACAGATTAAGTACACAGAATTACATAGGAGCAGGCAGAACTACATTTGCATGCAGAACTGTGTGAGCCTGTAGTGAAGAGTGCCTCTATACAACATGTCTCACATGTCACACCTTGTCTCTTGTTATCTGGCATTGTTGTTAACAATTGATTTGAGAGGGCAGTTCTTTGAAATACTATACCAACATATTGTGCGAAGGATGCTCTTCCCTACACCCTGCTTCCAAAGAAGGGGAGGCTGCTTTTAGCTACAGATCTGGAACAAGACTTTTTAGAAGAACTTAGACTTGCTTCAGCAAACCAAAGCCTAAATATGTGTTTGCCCTGGGTTTGACTTAAAATCTACGGTATCTTTAAATCTGCAGAATACATTTTATTTTGTCACTTTTGCTTTACTTTTTCACAGCTTTTTGTTTCAGCCTGTTTAGTGTTGTGCCAATGTGTTATGTAAAGCAATTTTAGTTACCCTGTGTATAAAATATGCAATATAAATAAAATAGTCTTTGGCTTGCCTACTAGTAATAGCTGCAGTTGAGGTGTGTACAATAATGCCAGCAGCTCTGCGATGCTGTACTTATAGGAACAGTGTGCTTTAAACAAAATGGTAATGCCAGTATGACATTCCATTGATAAAAGAGAATGAGGAAGCAGCACACCCATAACTTGATGTGCTTATTTTTATTGCTTTATATTTCTTGTACAGATTGATGTTTTTGCAAATTGCATTCTTTAGGATGAATAAGATTCCTGATCCTAAGGAAGACAATTTGCTGAAATGTGGATATTTATACATTTATACATTTAACAGTGTGCTGCTTCCCCATTCTCTTTTATCAATGGAGTTATCATTTTTTTAGAATGCCAATCTATCCAATAATTGTTGAGACATTACATTCTGAACCAAAAGGATTACCAAAGTCAGTAGGATACATCATCTAGGAGCTACGAGTGTTTGTTCAAATGTTGAGTCAATCAGTCAAGGGGATGGTGAGATATTTCACAGGATAAGTGAAAACATTGACTTGCGGTGGCTCTAGAGGAAAAGTCAAGGGATCACCAAAGTCAATAGGCTTCATTCTGTGAGACTGAATACCTGTACCACAATCTGTTCAAGGAAAATGTCACTCTAGAGTAAAGTAGTTAACCTACCTGTCCGACCCACCAATCGATCGACAAACTGGCGTGACTTATAAGTGCAAGCGCCACAGCTGACTTTCTCCCGATGGTTCAAATAAAAATCATATATCATTTTATACATAATAATATGTATATTATTCTGATTCTTGGTCTCTCTCCTGACTTCCTTCCAACCAGCCAACTGCATCCAGAGGATGAGACGAACACCGCCACTGGATGAGCTTCAGCCACCTCCTTACCAGGATGAGAATGGCTCTCCGAGGATGTCCTGTACACTGTCGGACCTGGGAGATGCCAAGTGTGATCTATCCCATAGCAGTGGCAGTCCCCACCTGTCCTTTGGCAAATGCCACAGTGAGGGCAGTGACGACCACGAGACTGAGAGTTACCTCAACAAGGGCTACGAGGAAGATGTACCCAGTGACAGTACAGCTGTCCTCAGCCCAGAGGTAAATACCGGTGAAACAAGATATGACTGGGAATGCAAATTGAGGTTTTTATTGTGCACTGAACATCTTATTGTTTTTTTTTAGGACATGTCAGCCCGTGGATCAGCAGCTCAGCTCCCTAAAGGTTATGAACCGGATCCAATTGCAAAATACGGAACTCTGGACGTGGTGTTTGACTTTGACTCAGACGAACAGCAGCTGGCGGTCACCATCATGGCAGTAACGGACCTCCCTGCTGTAAAACGCACCGGCAACATCTCCTGGCAGGTCCACCTGGTGCTGCTGCCCACCAAGAAGCAGAGGGCGAAGACAGGAATCCAGAGAGGCCCGTGCCCAATCTTCACAGAGACATTCCGCTTCAGCCATGTGGAGTCAGAGATGATCAGCAATTATGCCATCCGATTCCGCCTTTATAGTATGCGGCGGATGAAGAAGGAGAAGGTGCTTGGCGAGAAGGTGTTCTACCTCACCAAGCTCAACCTTCAGGGCAAAATGTCTGTGCCAGTCATATTAGACCCATGCTGTGCTCTCCCGGTAAGTAGGATCAAAGCAGGTGTTGACTTTCAAGCGTTCTCAGAACACCTCATTAATTGCTCCTCTATGTTGATTGATCTTTCGTGTAATTGGATAACATTTTCAGAATGAGGTTATATTTTGCAGCTTGAGAGAACATAAAGATCTTGTTTTACGAAGCAGCTACTTTTGTTTGACTTGTTGGTTTATTGTTTCTGAGGAATAAGCGTGACAATGACACTTAGTTGTGATGTTATGTGTTCCTTTTGCTATCATTTAAAATGTTACAGTAATTTAAATACAGATTACAAAGCGAAATAGCAGCCTAAGCAATTAAGGCATATCTCAAACCACAAGGGTTATTTACATATTCTACAAGAAATTTGTCATATATTAGGTACATTTGTTATCTTGTTAGTGCTTTGGCAAAAGAGCAACATATGGTGTTGAAAAGCCTTTCCAAAAGCCAAAAAACTAGAGCAAGAGTGTGCGACACAGTGTTTTTCTGCCCCAGTTTAAACTGCAGTCATTAGCAAGCCCAGCTAACTAGCTTACTATCTACAGTAGTTACTGTTACTTCCAAAGCCAAGGAGCACATCATTAGCTCACTGGATTAGCTTGTGGGCACAACTAGCACGCCCACTGTAGTATTTCTCCACTGTGTGCAGTATTTTCCATACCGCTGCCCTCCGTAACTGGGATTAGTGTTTAGGTTAGGTTAAATTGAGGTCAAGCATTGCTCAAACTAGGGTTAGGGATAGGGTAACCCTAACCGAGGCTGGGCGAAGACTATGTAGTGTCATCAAAATAATCATGCATTTCTACAATGGGTTTTGCAAATACTATTAATGTCAGAATGGGTAAAACAAAGTAATAAACATAAATCTTCTTGACATTGCAATAGATATTTTTAAATTTTTGTTATCAGTGAACAATTTTCTCGCCAATTTTCAGGGTGGTGAATCCCAGGTCAGCCTCTCAGATATGACATGCAGTGAAAGCGCCTCATCATTCCAGTCAGTCAGTCAGGCTTCCACACCAGAGATCCTCGTGGGCTTGGTGTACAACGCCACTACAGGACGTCTCTCTGTGGAGATCATCAAAGGCATCCATTTCAAAAACCTGGCTGCCAACAAGCCACCCAGTAAGTACTCTAAAACGTTCTATTTCAGACATTTTCCAATAGAGCAGTGAAGAGTGTAAACCGGTTTTAGATGGGGAAAGGACAAGTTGAGCTTGTGCATAGGGATTTATGTTATGTAGGCATCAAACTAATTTGTAGTTTTTCTGTCTGACAGATTATAAGCCATACAGACCACCAACTTGTTTTTTGCTTTGAAGCTTGAACCATTCTTGGAAAAGTATATGAAACTAGAAAGACATTTGCCAAGCTATTTGCTTTTATTTATATTATTATTTAAGTACACCTGAGGCAGAGAGAAACTATGCACAGCTTGTAACTTCTCCAAAAAAAGAGATAGCCCAGCCTATCTCAGCTACACTACCTGCTTTTTAGTTTTCCTACGGTCTGATCCTTGGTTTCCCTCATTTTCCGGTTAGTCTCCTCAGCCAGTTTCCGGGATCCGAGCAGCAAGTTCAAACAAAAAGTGCCTCTTGTTGAACTTTGTGCAATGTCGTTGGCCTTCTGACCCTGTTTCTCTTTCCTCGCATCTTCTGTTATATCTGCACCTGAAACTCTCTCACCCTACTACCTTTTTGACATCTTGGTCCATTGTTTTTCTTACTGCTGTCCAACCCTTGTTGTCAGATGGACTGTTCTGTTGTCTAAAACACTTGATAGGTGGACAGGTTTATATAATCAGAGGTGAGTCTCTGTCCCTGCCGCGGTGAGGTGCTATCGGTGTTGAAACCCTTTCATACTATCTTCATGGATGCACCCAATCAGACGAAGCATTTTCCATTGGTTAGCATTTATAATTGACATATTTTATGTTTCTAACTATTTTATTTATTATCTGGTCTCCATGATACATATCTGCAAAACATTGTTGTATGAGGAAACAGAAGAATGTTTGGGAAACAAGCATATTCACTTTATTGCCGAGCGTTAGACGAGAAGACCAGTACCACTTTCATATCGGTACAGCTTAGCATAAAGACTGGAAACGCCAAGCCTGGCAGCTTTGGAGTTGTTTGTAAGCAGGTATTGTTAGCTACAGACAGAGCCAGGCCAGCTGTTTACCCCTGTTTCCAGTCTAAGCTAAGCTAAGCTAACTTTGTCTTGGCTGTTACTTCATATTTAGCAAACAGATGTGAGAGTTCTATCAATCTTCTCATCTCACTGTTGGCAAAAAAGCAAATATACTTGTCTCCCAAAAATAACATTTCAATGCATCAAAATTACTTGCAAAAAATGGGTGATAGGAATTCTAGCAATTACACATTTGCATTTTCACTTTAGTATTCTGACATTTATCCATGAAGATAGCTGCTTGTTGTAAACCTTTTTTCAAACGTGTATGTCTTGTTATGGATGCAGCCCTGTGAGCGTTCTCCACTACCTGTGTGTTGTGTTTGTGCCTGTGATGCCTGGAAGTCTTTCATGTTCACACTCAGAAGTAACTCAATCCGGTTTGCTTGGTGGCTGATGGCCAGCTCGAAGGAAATGCTGTGCGTCATTGACTGCTGGCTTCATCCAAACAGTACACTTTGGCATGCTTTGAGTGTAATTTTACATTTTTCAGTTCTGCTACAGTACATGAGACAAAAACAGGACTTGTGTGATAGAGACGAGCATAAATATTAATCTAAAAGACACACTGTAACTGTCCTCCCATTAATTGCTGTGTTCTTTGTATTTATGAATGTCTGTAACTAATGACTAGCTGCCACATTTGGATATTGTTTGTGCTTTCCTGAACAGCATATCCCACATACTGTATCGTCTTCAAATTACATTTAGAAAATAGTCACATCTGGTAACACTGAAAAAAATCTTTGTGCAAAATGCTTATGAAGGCCTTGATTGACTTTATGCATCTCACAAAGTGGAGAGAGCGCGGTGAAAGATGCAGAGCAATTTCAAAGCTCCTTTTCTATCACTTCAAAACAGTACCGAGCCGACAAGTCAAGTTAATCATCAGTCGCAGCCCCTCTCATTCAGCAACAATACCAAAGAGCCATGCATCACCGCTACTGACCACTTAAGACATCCACAGCTCTACAGAGCCCATTCAGCAGCAGTCAAAAAAGAAATCAAGGCTATTTTTTTCAATGTGCTTTTATGTCAAAGAGAGCAACTGAATGTGTGATTCGAGGCGGTGAGCTAGGCGTTGGAAGGCAGCTGGCACTCGACAGCATGAAAGCCTCGGCAATTCATTCCTTATACTCCCTCTTAGACAGGAACATAATACACAGCATTATTATGGAGTATGGTTGTAGACGAGGGGCGAAACACTCTCAAAGACCCATTGTGATTGCCAGTCTTGCTTCGTTTACTTTCAGCTGGATTTGTGGCTTCAGTTTATATCGTGATTTCTGCGTGGAGATGAGGAGTGAATAAGGAAAGCGTGAATGCTGAATCACTTGATAATGGCAGTGTTTTTCCTTTTCCTTTTTCCTCTTTGGGGTTAAATGAATGAGATTTGTTGGGAATGGTTTTTTTTGGAATATGCACTGATTTGCAATAAAAGAAAAAGGGAATCAGCTGGTAGAAAGAAAAAAGCTGTGAAATGTCACACAGACCAAGATTATCAGTAACATCACTGCTCTGTACTAGATCTAAATTCCTTAATGCTGCTGTTAAACATGTCCAAAGGTAGTCTTCTCTTTTTGATTGTACAGATCTTGAGCTGGATTTCATTTTTCTTGCTGCATCTCACTAAACCACCACTGTGATGACACATTAGAACTGTGCAGCACTTAGTGTATGTTTTTGAACATTCTCATTTGTTTGCAGCAGTCACGCATCTCCTGCTGAATATGTGACTCAAGTTTTGGACAGGGCACATTTTGGGACACTGCTCTGGGCTCTAAAAGTCTGCGCACGTGTCACGTCATGACACTGACGTTATGGCAAAGTCAGAGAACATAACAGTAGCTCCTGGAGGGCTTTCCTGATGAGGAACATTCATTTTAGCATCTGTTTTGGAAGAGGCTCCTCATCCTCTACGCACAGGCAGGCATATTACTAACTTTTTCCAGTCCATTTTTATCTTCAACATTATCCACTACTTCAGGTTAGACATGCAGTCGTTGCATAGCAACAAGACTGAAGTAACGCTCCTTGCACCCTTTGAGTTCTCGCTCTCTGTTATCGGGAACACTCACAGCTGCTCTTTGTGTTTGATCAGGAGAAAACCACATCCTATGTGGTCATGATCTTATACATCGACTGCAGCGACATTATTACAAGAACAAAATTTGCTTTGTGGGGAAAATGTGTCATACTTTGCTGCAGAGGAAACAGCTGCTGCAGGTAGTAATGCTTTAATTCAAAGATAATACACTGGAGAAACATAAGGATTTTGCACAAATGATCCACTATTCAAGTCAGGTGCCAGAGTTTTTTAACCATGCATTAAAAATACTTCTAAAGGTTAACATCATTTCCCCTCTAATTGTCTACATCTGTTTCTTGCTCAGATACGTACGTTAAGCTGACCTTACTGAACTCCATGGGCCACGAGATGTCCAAGTGTAAGACATCCATCTGTCGAGGTCAGCCCAACCCCACCTACAAAGAGACGTTTGTCTTCCAGGTAGCTCTTTTCCAGTTGTCGGACGTCACGCTCATCCTCTCCGTCTACAACAAGCGCAGCATGAAGCGCAAAGAGATGATTGGCTGGATTTCACTCGGCCTCAACAGCTCTGGAGAGGAGGAGCTCACCCACTGGACTCAGATGAAAGAGTCTAAAGGACAGCAGGTTTGCCACTGGCACAGTTTGCTGGAATCCTAACAGCAAGAGAGCAGTAAGTAAAGAAAGTGCGTGAGGATGACTGGGCAGAGCAGTTGTCCTCCCAGACGGGCGAGAAATGGATAAATTCAGCTGGGATAGAGGAATGTGACAGACGTTCAGGGACCAGGGTCAGTGGTGATGACGAAAAAAAGGAACAGAATGTGTTTCTGCACTCAGAGTTCAACTGGACATAGCATAAGCATTTTCATGGCACTGTAAAATCACCCACAGCCACTGATTAGACACAGATGGCTAGTATTGTGATGTCATTTATTTCATGGATTGCCTTGTAATGTTAACCTTTAAGTTTCTGTAGATGGCGCTCACTGTTTTTGTTAAACTGGTTGAGCTGGGACCAGTTCCAAGAAGCAGGTTCTGGATAACATTAAGTAATTTCTTGTCTGATAACTTTGTGTACCCACACCTCCAGCTCAAACAACTGACATCTTATCAATCTTATCAGACAGATTTACAACGCTTGTGCAAGGCCCCCAGAAACACGACCCCTCCTCTTTTGTGTATAAGAAGCGTATGTCAACCAAGAAATAGTATTTTATTTTGGAGCCAGGACAGGACATGCATGGCCACTTCACATCAGTAGAAGTTACTTATTTTTTTACTTTGTAATGGACATTGAAATCACATTTTCCGTGGGTCGGTCTCTCACTAGGAGCAGTTGGTCCCTCGTGAACCCAAACCTAAAGTTAGAACAGTTTCAGTTGTCACATGAGGGATTTCTGTTTGTGTTCTTGCTCTTTGTTTTCCTCACAGGTTTGAAGTGGGCGGGGCTCAGTTGGAAAAGGTGATGTCATGTATCACTGTGACCCAGTCAGAGTTCAGCAACATTTGAATCAAAATCTGGTGACAGTTGTGGGCTTGTTTGCTTATGTTACCTCAAACAAACCACACCCACACAGTCCTGTTGAAGCCCAGCCATCAAGAAGAGCAGCAGACTTTGAAGCCAAGTTGACATAATGGCCATACCGTGTAATTACAGCAATGGCATCCGTCATGTGAAATTTCTAGATCCCTATTCAAGTTAACAGAGGGCTAAACCGGGAGTCAATCAGCTCAGCCGGCGGAAGTCTCTGGTACACTTGCTTTATAGGGTTAGGGTTAGCGCCGTCATTAAGAAAATTGTACACTTCTTAGGACAGCTTGACTTCAAATGCATGCCTGCTGTAGGGAGATGTCCCCTCAATAATGCCGACTTGCTCTGGTGTTTCCCCGGATTTGTGTGTACATTCATCCGGGTAATTCTTCTACATAACAGGAAGTGGCTTTTTTGGCTTTATGTGCCACTGTGCAGTTTTCATAGGAAAGAACAGAGTGCCACCCCCAACACTGTATCCAGTTCTCATTATACATCCATGGTTGAAGCAGATTAACAGTGTTTTTGAGTAACTTTAACTGTTGCTTTGTCATTTATCAATGGATATTTAATATTATAAAGAAATACTGAAAGTTTGTTTTCAAGGCCTTTAAGCAATTTCCATAGTCAGAGAAACCGTGTTTTGCCATCTTGTCCCTGGCTAGCTAGCTGTTACAGCAGTAAACAGTGCCATGCTCTGAAAACAATAACCCCAATCAGTGTACTTTTCTACTTAGCTCTTGAGTTTGAATTTCTCCATATGTCAGTTGTTTAAGCCAGAGGTATGGCTACATGAAGCTATCATGCTACCTAAATTGTTGTTTTTGGAATAGAAACATAAAATGCACCATTTCTTTCATCTGGGACATTATTGAAATAAGTTTTATAAATAGAATAAGGGTACAATTTAGGTTAACTCACCATGTTGTAAATGTTGCTTCTGCCTAAGCTACTGCAAATTAATTTGCAATTATCGTTACAGTCCAACATGTGCAGGACTCTCTGGGGATGGAAGCATGTTGAAAGATATGTTGGAAGAACAGGAAGCAGTTTCCAGAGAACTTATTGGGGAATTACTTTGGAGACTTGAGCTGAATTACTACACTTTAATTAATCTTTCTCAGTCGACACTGCCGAGGCAAAACCATTGTGTGAACCTCAACATAGTTCAACAAAACAGCCACTAAATCATTTCAGACCTTTTTGTCAGGCAAATAAGATTTATGACATCACCGACAGTGGAAGTGCAAACTGAGATATGTTATATATAGAAAGGTGTAGTTGTGACCGTGGTGGTTGTGTAGTAAAAGTTTCCATCAACAAAAGTCACACAGAATATCAAAGGCATATTCAAAGAAATTCAAGGCTTTCAACTTTTTTATAGGCATCTCTTGAATAATATTATCTTGGTAACACATCACAGCAGTAAAGCTAACAGGTGAGAAGACTATGTACCTGTTACTCTCTTTTACCTGCTCTGGTGCTAATAAGTGCTGTGGCTGCACACAGAATCCCTTGCCTTATGGTTAAGTCAGTTCATACACTTTTTTAAAGTGGACCCAGTACAAAACCTGACACAAACACGCCCTCAGAGCACACAGACCTGCATCCATAAATACAGAAAGCACACACAGTACTGCTCAGCCTCACTGAAGGGAATTCAAACTGTTTTCATAGGAGCCAGTGTGCATTGACAAAGTGTCTACAGGCGAATGGGTTGTATTTTTAGCCATGGCCACTTTCTCACTTCATTTCATTTACAGACAACAGAAAATACATATACTCTTTACTGTGCCTGTGGTTGTGGTGAAAGCTAGCTTTGTGCACTGTTTACCAAGTGGATGTGTGTGTGTTGACTGGAAAGGTACAGTAAAGGGGGGCGTGGGGGGAGGGGGGGCTGTGATATAGGTAGCTGTTGCATTTTCTTGTTGGGTGTAACAATTTCTGAATTTAATTACTGTTATTTAGAACAAAGTAACCCACTTCTTGATTGTCTGCCATATACTTTATATACAGTAAATGTTTTCTTATCTATTTTTGTATCAATAATGGGGAAGAAATTGTGTCAAGACAGTTAAATGGTGAATCAAATGTTAACCCAATCTGTGAGAAATACTACTCTGGATTGCTACTATTATTTATTCCGTTACACAGTTATGTCTTACAGCTCTGGTCCTCTTTACATTGCCTTCTCCAAAACCAGAAAGAGATGTGACGGAGACCTGCAGAGCTCATCTCAAAACAATCTGTCAAGACTTTTCAGCTTTGATGCTGTTTAACAGTGTGAAACAGAAGCACAGCCTTTACAGCACAACAGTGAAACACACCATGTAAAAGATAGCTCGGCAGCATCTCACGTGTACAAGGAGAGAGACAACATATAATTAGTTGTCCGCTTAAAGTAAAAATCCACTCTTGTAATATATATTTTTTTATCAACCTGGATTATTGGATTGGACTTCAGTAAATGGATTATCATGTCTCGCCGTTCGACTATACCTGCAGAAAAAGGGGAGTGATCTTGTTGAATCAACAGAAGATGTGCAGGAATATAAATAGCTTTTAAATGTGATGTTTTATCGGTGGGTGTCTGATGGCAGCCGTGCTCCATTGGCTTTTGTGCATCTTGGAAATCTACCTGGATGACGAATGGTGAACGTTGGTGACAAAAAAAGCTCTTTGACTCTTCACAGTGGTAGAAAGAATTAATAATAGCCAATAGGATTTTAATCTTGCAAGCAACTCATGTGATGTGCAGTTTAGTCACAGCTTAATTTGAATGCCATTGAATTTATATCGTTAAAATGTTTTATTTTTATTTTTCAAAAATGTATTTGGTTTAAATTTCCCCCTTTAACATTTATTGGAAATAATTTCAAGTTGTGCTACTTTGGAACTTGATTTTAAATGTGTTTTTAGGGTTCGCAAATTCAGATATTGAAGAAAAACTGCATTCAGGTTGCTCAAATTTTCAGATCTAAAATTTTAAGTTAAGTCAAAAATCGGGTGGGTAAAATTAGATTGGGAAATTCTGACACTAAAATTCAAGAAACTTTAAACTTTAACATCTGGGCCACGAAGGCTCGATCAGACCTCAACTCCTCACAACTGGCAACCCTGGACAATTGAATTTTCTATTTGACTCTGTGAACTGAACAAAGTTTTCACATTCAAACCGTATAAACAGATATATGGTTTTCAAGTTAAATACTATATTTCAATGCTATTTAAATGATGTTTAAATTTTAACATTAAGTATTCAGTAGTGGTTCGAGTTAAGGTTGGTTTTTAATTAAAAAAAACAAAAAATTACCATGGCCTTTTTTTGCTTCCGTACAAACAACACAAAAACCAGGTAGAACAATCTTCTAACTCTTGTCTTGCTAATCTTTCACAAGATGTGTTCCACTAGTAAGATTTTACTAAAACTAAAACAATGTTTATGCTTTGCAGTATTGTTTCTGTTGCTTTCACTTTCTTGACACATTTTGAACAATCTTCTGGTTTTTAATGCTGGTTTTAACTGGTGATTTATTTATTTTCTTTCTTTTAGTTTAGAAACTACCTATGCCACAAACGGCATTGGTGCCTTACTGTATTTCACTCAGCAACCTTGTGTCACAGTGTCTTAATGTACTTGTAAATGTACTTTTCTTCTGTACTTCAGGCTGAGTTTGATTTGTAAAATGTCTTACAAATTGATTTATGATAGAGAGAATTTATATGTGATGATATTATTGTTTAAAAAAGAGCAAAAAGAAAAACATGCTTGTGTTGGAGCACTTTTTTCTATCACATCTCATCACACCTTTGTGTGTGTGTTAACATACTGACTTTTACCTTAATGCAGCTACACTAGTGTTGATATGAGCAGACTACTGTGTACTCTGCACACATTGTGAGGGTTTGAGCTTTTGGTCAGTTTTGAGTTAGATATGCAGCTCAGCCATAATACAGTTATTGGAGTCCTCAGAATTTAGCTCACCACGCATTGCCACAAAACAACCAACAGGTGGAGCAAATATTACATTTAACTGCTTATTTTGGCAGTGTTTGGCAAATTTGAACCTCATAATTACAATTTTCAAAACTATGTGAGTTTACATGAATTCATATGAGTGCTACAAAGTCAGCGTTTGAAAGCAGATTGCCTGCAGCCTTTATGGGGAGGGCTTGACCTGCAGCAGTGGTGGCTGCTTTTGCCCCGCAGGTAGTGAGCTACTGAAAAGAATGAAATCACATATTTTTGAAAGAGGATGGTTTTGTCAAATTGTGGGGTTACCAGGGATATAATGGCAAAGGCATTAGTTCACTTCTTGGTTACAGAAATGGAGAACACAAAAGGATGAATGCCCTCAGGTGTGTATTCATTATTCTTCATTATTTGAATTCAGATTTGATCTGGGTAGTTTTATTTAAAGGGGACACTTGTGAGCATTGTTCCCTGATCGTTTTGTGAGCTACTTTTTATCACACATACAGATTCTAACTTTAAAGCCATGGGTTTTTGTTCCACGCAGAGACTTTGCTGTGATGTAGGTCTGATTAAAATTGTGTGATCTTGGCACAAACCTGGATTTTTTTCTTTGGTTCGTTTAAACCATTGCAAAGAGGAAAAAAAAGGTAAAGAGAGAGAAAAACGAGATCAGAGATATAAGGTTTTTACAATTAAGTGTGTTCTGCAGCACATTCCACAGCTGAACACAGAACAAAGCGCTCAGGGGGAGAAATGCTGGAAAATAAGATTCAGTGGCTGCTGCTGAATCAAAGGGGAAATGCATGACAGATGAGAGGGGCTTGCTCCCTCCCCTCGCTTTGTCGGTCACATCCCTGCAGAGCAGATCTCCAACACACAGCCCGACTAAGAAAGTGTTAGATTGCCTTCAAGTAGTGTCGGAAATATGACAATTACGTATTCATAACACAGGTCCAAACAAAATGGTATTAATGTGATATTCAGGAGACACTAAGGTAAATAAAAAGATTGACAGCCAAGTCAAATTGGTGATTTAGGGCTATGTCGATGGCTTGATGGCTGATAAGCAGGTGTAGTAGTTTGAACTACTATTAAAAAAATTATTAGTCAATGAATCAGTCGATTGATATGTTTGGACTGATGGACCCAACTATTAATCATTTAGTCGATTAACCAAGGAAATATTTGACAAATTCAGTGACATTTTAAAATAATGTAATAATTTGGGATTGTTGGTCGGACAGAACGAGCGACGCTGAAGAGGATGAAGATGTCACTATGCTCTGGAAATAGTGATGAACGATGTTTTCCGACGATGGCACAATCATAGAAATAATATTTAATGGCAGCCCTGAACAAAATCAATCCGAGCATCAGTTCAACAGCTGCTACAAGCCACCGACCATTCGCTTACAACAACAACAACAAGAGAGTGGCGAAAACTCCGAGCAGTCCGTGAACTCCTCGGCAGTAGTTGACTGGAGGGGATGGAGCTGCTGCTGCTGCGACGCTGCTGTTGTTTTCTCCGCCGCACATTCATGTGAACTGTCAACCGAGCCGTAACGACGTGAGCTGCTCGGGACCCTGTGCACGGGAAACCACCCTGAATGGACTACCACACAGCCACCAGAGCCCGAGCCCACCTTGTTTACTCCTCCGAGGGAAAAGAACAACAACAGCTGACCACATTTGCCAGGGAGCGAAGCGCGCGGGCATGCTTCGCGCGGGTACAGCGATAGAAACGCGCGCGCTTAATGATTAGTATTTAGACACGTTGCTAATTAACCAGTAATTACATAAGTGCTGTTTAAACCGCCAGTGCGCTTCGCGTGTCTGCTAGTGGGCTAAAATTAGAGCACCGCGCCGCCAGCCGGGGGACACGGTAGTATTTATTCAGTAGGACTTTTTTCGTTTTTCATCAACGCACCTTGGATTGCAGTCGTTATCACAAAGCAAGTGTGGAGCCGAGGACGAGGTCAAAACAATTCGAGACAGGTAAGCTAACCCCTTCTGTAGCTCAGCGTGTGGGGGTGTGGAGCTGTGTGAGCGGCAGGTTCACTGCTTTAACTGTGGAAAAGTAAAGGTATGTGGTGTGCCGCGCTCTCACACAGGTTGTATAGGACTTCAGATGTCTGTCTGTCTGTCTGCCTGTCTTTGTCTCTGGAATGTGAACCAAATAATGAACCCTTGCAGCACTCGGACTCTAAATTCTGGCAAGTGCACATACATTGTTGCCGCCCATACTTCATATGCCACTGAATGAGAGGTGAACAGCAACTTGTTATTACTTAAGCTTGCTGTTTTTTTTTTAAAATAAATTGCATAGGAAATAATTTTCTAAGTAGTTCTGTTTAATTACAAATGTCAGTCAAGCAAAGTGAACAGTGACAATAACAATGTGGCAAGTATAAAAGGTTTTAAATGGGACATTTAGTCATTTTCTTTGAGTTAATTCTGGTGATTAATCGAATTGTTTTTGTCAAGGCAAAGTGCTTCACTTACTGAACGCTCACTGAACTGAGTACATTACTGGATAAAGCTGTAGTAGAATGATTAGATCGGATACTGCAGGATTAATGGGAATCAGGGCAGTCAATAGCTCACTAGTATGACATGACAGAGACCCTGGTCTAACACATTATGCAGGCTGACATAACCAGCCACCCTCCTGGCATCCATCCAGCCTCACTTCATTATTTTGTGGGGACTGCTCTTGGCTGCAAATCCTGAAGTGGCGGTTGCCTGTATTACTGCCGCCTTCTGAAAGGAAAGGGGGTTTTAGACGATTGAGCTGAATTCTGAGCTTCTGTTGTAATTCTCCCCTTGATGTCATTCCTGTGCTGTCTTAGACTTAGTGTCACAAGCGTGGACTCGCTCGGAGCGGACCGGCAACACCCCGTTAGACCCAGGGAGGATTAAAAGAAATGAAAACATCGCAAGTTGTTCGGAGTGGAGGCAATAAATATACACCAGGTCCCCTCTGTCTCTTTTCTTTGTCCACCGAGAAAGACTTGGAGCAGCTCCGCTCTCTGCCAGCAACATCCGGAGTCACTTGCCAGAAATTCCACCTTTGCTATTTGTTTCCCTTGGAGGGAAAAGTGTGTTATGTGGAATATAGTGAGGCACGCAACAGGGAGGAACATCCAGCTCAGATTAAACTAACAGACCAGAGAAGCGGGGCTGTAACAAGAGGAAGCGCTCTGGCTTTGTAGAATGGTGGACTGGTTCCTGGCATCTAGCTCGGGCAAGTCCGATGCCAGATTCCTTCTCTTTGCCGCCTGCCAAAGCCCTCCACCCCGCCGTCTTTATCAGAAGCCCTCGCTGCGATTCCCCTCTTCCAGTTCTGTCGCGGCGCTATCAATCATATCTGGCTCTCAGCAGACTCCTCTGCTCATTAAGAATGTGAACCTGTAGGTAGCCTGCAGCCCCCCTAGCCATTCATCTCTCTCAGCGGGGCGCAGACACTCACATCTGGAGCAGCATTTCAAAACATGGCTCTTAGCAGGAGAGAATGCGAAGGAGGCGCGATACATTTTTAAAGGCTGGCTTTCAGCAAACCTGGTGCCAAACAGCAGTTAAAGTGTGCTTTCATACACAAACCTGTGATGGTTCATTTTATTTGTAATTTTGAATTGGCCGAAAAGGCAGCAAAAGCAGGTGTAGTAGATAATATACATGACAGCGCAAAGGAAAGTTGAGATAGCCGCTGAAAGACAGAAACACTAACGGCACGTCATTGCCGATGATAGTTGGCGAGAAATAGAGTGGCTTCACATCTCCTTCCCTTTGTCCCTCTCTTTCTCCGCTCTGTTTTGTGCGAACGGTCTCAGCCAAGACAAGTTGAGCCGCTTTAGTGTGTGTTTTTGTGTGTGTGTGTGTGTGTGTGTGTGCGTGGACCGTAGGGTGTAGCCCCAGACTTCTTTTTTCCCCTCAGGCACCGCTTCCACATCATGAATACGCCTTTGTGCTCCAGAAAGACACACAACTGAGGTGGACAACTTGAGAGGAAAGCAGAGCACACATTTGTTTCTACACAAGTGCAGAGGAAGGTGTGACATGACATTTATTTATAGCTAAGGCCTCATGACTTCACCTTCACAGAAAAAAAAACTGAGATCATACACCTAAAAATCCTGCATCTACCCCCCCCCCCAAAAAAAAAAAAAAATTTCTCAAAGATTCCTTTCAGTACTTTGGACCTGCATAGGGACATTGATTTATTTAGAAGAGCAACATATACAAACACAAAATGCCTCACATTCCAGAAAGTAAAAATAGTAGGTCTCTTATCATAAGTGGTGACCTGTGTGCTGGATTTCAGACCGTTTTCACCAGCTTTGAAAATGACCTTCATAGCTGAAAAATCCCCTTTTCTCCTCCGTTGAGGAGTGTAACTTTGACATCATACTCTAACGTGACAAACAAGCTTTTTTTGATAAGCACATACCGATGGCCCTGCCTGCCTTTAATGTGCTGCATCCACCTCTGGGAGCGTGGCAGTGACGTACCCACAGACCCCTGGCCTGTTAACCCTTACAGCCACAGCAGGCCGTCCCCACATAGTCTATAATGCAGCGCCTGTGCAGCTGCCATGTCACAACACATGTGTCACCACTCAGCAAGAAGAGCGGGGGGCGAAACCCCCCGGGGGCCCTGAACCCAGCTAAGTCACGCCACCGCGGCCAAGACGGCCCTCTACCAACTGCAAGCTGCTCTGATGACTACTGACAGCCTGCAAGCTGGCACTAAGACAATCTTAGATGCAACCAACGTCAACAAAAAAAGAGAATACCAAAATAACAGCGTGAGTGAAAGGGCAGAGGAGCTATTTTTGTCCAACATCATATACACATCATATACATTTGTGAAAGCTTATTTGTGTACTTATTAGTGTGTAGTTCACAGACAGATTGTTCTGTATTGTATTGAGTAAGTGTCACCAGCATAATGCCATAAGCTTTAGTACAAACACCAACAAAGACCGTTTTGGTGAGTTTTGAATGTGTATAAGTTATAATTATCTGAGTGAGCGGTTTTGTCTGGTGGGCCGCAGTGTGTGACATCTAGAGACAATGAATGTTGTATATGTATAACCTTTAACATTCCCTAGTAGTAAATAATAAGTAACTACCTATGTGTTTGGTGTGTGACTTATAAATGGCCTGGCTCCAGTTGGGACTGGCTCATCCACCTCCTGTCGTAGCATCGTCTCATCGACTTTAATTCAATACATTTGGAGTGTGGCTTCGTTAAGAATACCTTGGATTGTGGCACAAAGCGTTGCTACTGTACACTACAACCTTACTGTTCCTGGCAGTCTGTCTAACATAAATACATGTATGAGCAGCGGCAGAGCTGAATAATGAGAAGAACCCAAGATATCACCCAGCATGGCTCTTTATTAAGCCTGAAACATGTTTTGCAAATACGCACGGCCATCATGTGCAAAGCTTTGCATGCCGCCAACACAAGTGAACGTATCATTAACGTGCACAAGCCAGCCCCAGACCTGCAGCTTTGTTGTGATGTGCCTTTCTTCTCACACTGGAGAGGCCATGGGAGCTGTGTAACAGGAATCTAAATGAGGATTTACAAGTCTTATTTAAGGCACACAAAACGACAACTGTACACAAACTCCTGTAGGATCTATTGTCACACATAAATACAGTAGGTAAAGGGGGAGACCTGCTCGTAGCCGTTGATCCTGTTGTTGATATTTCAGAGGTTGTCAGTGCAGCCAGGTTTTCTGCCAATGCCTAAAAAAGCGTACATTTATTTTTGTTTATGCATCTATTGATTTTTTGTTTGAACGTGTGTCTGCAAAGGATCTTCAGGCTTTTCTGTCCGATTTTTCCCAGCGTGGCTTAGTGTTTCTGAGCGGCTGCGGTCCACTCTACTAGCAGGGGGCTAATTGCTCGCTATGTGAGTGTCCCAATTTTGATTCATGGCGTACATTTCCTTGTTGCTGCTGCTCTGAAGGAGGATTTGATGTCATGACACCTATTATCT